AAGAATAAAATTGTTTAAAGTGCCCAGTAGTGCTAAGTAGCTACTGATTGGGTAGTGCAGATCAACCCCTCATTGCAGAAAATCCTGATGAACAGTACTGTTCAATAGAGACAATGCAAGTGCAACCAAAATCCCAACATGGGTTCATTTGTTTTTGGTGAATTTGATGAGATAATTCTAAAACATATATAGACATGCAAAGGGATAAGAATAGCTAAAACATTCTTAAAGGATAAAGTTCTCTACTAAATATTAAAACTTGTAAAACGATCATTAGACAGTGTCCGGTTTTTGTATAAATAAAGATCTAAGAAATCTAGTTAAGTCTGTATCCAGCAAAACAGAATAGAGAATTCAGAAACAGATACAAGTTTGTATGGGCATGTGATTTATGACAAAGATGGCATTGCAGAGCAGTGAGAAAGTTTGTCTTTAATCATTGCTTTGGGGTCAATTGGATATTTATTTTGGGGGGAAATAAAATTTAAAGCGTTGCCCATCCAGATGTGAATGGTAAAATCTGACTTGTAAAAGAAAAACAATTTTTTCATAACTTTGGCATAAGGAAAGATTTAATCAGACACCAAAAGTACTAATTCTAAAGCAAAAGTGATGAGATTGTGTTAATTGAAAAACACCATTAAGAGAATGATAATGCAGATCATCTCTAAGCAATAAGATGCTCACATCTAACATGTTTAAAAATAGATACTTTTTAATTTTGAAATTTTGTGAAAAAGCTTTTTGATAGAAAAATGGTAAAGAAAATCTTAATAGGCATTTCACATAAATGGATATCCAAATAAATGAAAGGATGCTCATATTCACTAGAAAAATATAAGTTAAATTCACAGTGGGCACTACACATCTCCTATAATGACTGAAATTAGAAAGTCTGATGATTCAAGTATTGGTGTAGTAATGGAGCAGAGGGAATTTTCATAAACTGCTAGTGGAAAACAGATTGAATTTTTTAAAAACTGGGGGGAAAAATACTAACTCTGAAGTGGAAATAATTCAAATGTCAATCAAAAGTAGAATGGATAAACAAATTGTCATATATTCATATAGTTGGATACTATAAAGTAATGATAATGAACAAACCAGCCTATAAACATATCATTAAGTATAAGACCAATTTATATAAAGTTAAAACAAATCTGGTTTTGGAGATCACATACTAACTTTTGGGGAAGAGGGAATTTGGATTAATTCGGAAGGGCCTTTGAATAATGTGGGGAGGAATTTCAAGGATGATGGTCATTCTTTTTTTCTTGACACACAAGCTCAATTGATGATAATTATTTGTTACATACTAATGACTTTTGCACTTTTTCTGCATCTCTATCTATCTATCTATCTATCTATCTATCTATCTATCATAACCTATGTTAATAAGAGGGTAATATGCTCATTAGACTGGGTCAACTGGACATCTTCCGGACCTCCAACTTCCTTCTGGACAAAGCCATGGTGGCAGGGACCGAGGCAGAGGTTAGGGCGATCAGGCTGTCGAGGGTGCAAGCAGTAAGGGGGTGATCAGGCTGGCAGGGGAGGGCAGTTGGGGGTGATCAGGCTGGCAGGCAGGCGAGTGGTTGGGAGCCATTGGGTCCTGGACTGTGAGAAGGATGTCCAACTGCCAGCTTAGGTCCTATCTTCAGGATCGGACCTAAACCGGCATTCGGATTTCCTCCAAGAGGTCTTGGATAAGAAAGGTGTAGGCCGGATTGAGCACCACCCCCCTTGCATGAATTTTGTGCACTGGGCCTCTAGTATATATATATAAAAGCCTAAGCGACCTCTTCAACTGATTGACTAGAATGACTGGTTGATGCTCAATGTAGGAGCTGCCCCCTGATGGTCATTGCCCTCTCATAGCCAACCTCTCATGGCCAGCCAATCTTTCCCGGTCCCTCCTCCGGCCAGCAAACCTCCCACAGTTCCTCCCCTCCCCTCACCCCCCTCGCCCCCCAGCTGGCGGCTAGCAGGCCCCAGCCAGCTTGATAGGCCCTGATCACCAGCCAGGCCTAGGGACCTTACCCATGCACAAATTTCATGCACCAGGCCTCTAGTCCTATATAATAAAAGCCTAATGAGCAAATTGTTTGATTGGGAATTCAACTGCTGGCCATGACATCGCTGACCACCAGGGGAACATGCTGACAGCACAGGTAGCAGGCAGCAGTGTAAGTGCTACTGGCCCCAATGGGCCCCACTGAGAGCGCCTACACCACATCTTTCTGTGGGGACTTGGGTGCCGTGACTCAGGTAGAGGGGGTTGCATGAGGGTCTGGGGGCCCAGGTGCTGCCCAGTACCCAGAGGTCAGCTGGGCACTGTCCTTCCAAGCCAGATGCTTGTGCTTTGATTGCCAGCCAGGCCTAGGGACCGCACCAATGCACGAATTTCATGCACTGGGTTTCTAATATTATAATAAACTAGAGGCCTGGTGCATGAATTTCTGCACAGTTCGGGTCTGGTGGTCTGCCTCAATGGGGGCCCGTTGGGTGCACTGGCCTGTGCACGGTTGGTCCCTGGTCAGGGTGGGAAGCAGTTGGCAGCGGGGCTGGCCCAGGGGAGGTACTTTGGGCAGTTGGACAGCCAGCCCCGCCCATAATCGGGGTGTTGGGGTCTGATTGGGGGCCCGGCCAGCCGAGGGCGGGGGTCGGGGGGGGTATGGTATCAGATCAGGCTGGTTGGCTGCTCCAGTACACATCATAGCCACTGGTCGTTCAGTTGTTCTGGTCGCTGAGCTTTCTATATGTAGATAAGTTTATGGCATATAGTAATGGCATGAATAATGGAAACAGAGTAATATTTTAAACAGCACTTTTTATATACCAGTTTCTATTCTGCATGTCTACTTGTGTCCATTTAAACTTCATAACCTCAGGGATTGGGGTTAGTGTCATAATACATCTGCTTCATAGATAGGGAAACTAAGATGCTGAGTGGTTGTTAGTCACCATTCAGGGCCTCAGTTTCTTTACTGTTTACTTATAAGAGCTATTTGTGTCTCTTTCCATTTATTTTTTTTTATTTTTTACAATGCAGACTTTAAGCTTCCTTTCCTCCCATTATTTAACATGGAAGTTTCCAGGTTTTGCTAAGAAAACATTTTTCCTAACTATCTTTGTGCACATCATCAATTACTTCTTTAGGATAAATTGCTAGATTTTTTTTTTTTTGTGTGTGTGTGTGTGTGTGTGTGTGTGTGTGTGTGTTTAACTGAGCAAAGTTGCTCCCATAATTATATGGAGTATTTTTTATAATGAGTAATGAAATGTTTAGAAAAGTTATCTCGTCTATCATCACAGTTCCATTGCCATCTTAGGTATTCAGAAGATACCTGTTGTGTACCGTGGGTCAGCCATGCCCCTGATGCTGAGTGAGGGAGACAAGCTAAGGTCTCACAGCATTTCTGAGGCAGGTGGCAGGCAAGTTAACAGGGTGGAAGGTTGAGATTTGCATTTTAGGAAGTCACCAGTCATGTTATTGAAGAAATGACAATTTGCAGATGGGCATAGTAAAGAGTGCTAGGAATCTATTTAGTCTTCCCAGCGAGGCCTAGGGAACAGAGATGAGGGAGAGGTGTGGCCGTCTCTGTGGGAGGTGCTGTGGAGCGGTCTGTGGCAGGTGGAGGCAGCAAGCATGGCGGCTGTTCGCCTGAGGTGGCCCTGGGGAAGACTCCAGCTGCAGAGCTTTGAGCCTAGTGGACTGGGTGGGGGACAGGTCACCTCCTGGGAGAGGAAGTAGGAGTGAAACCTATGCTTGGGAAAGAGCAAGCTTTGTTGTCCTCGGTCAGTAGCGCCGGTGTGGCATCCGTGCAGAGATTGAAGGCTGCGCCGGAAGGGGCACTGTCATCCTTTACTGTACGCACTGTAACTGCAGCTGATACTGAGCCATTCCCTAATTGCCAGAGCTGGTCTAAGTACTTTAAGTGTGTAAAACACTTAGCCTTCACCACAGCCTTTTGAGGCAGATACTGTCATTATCAGGAAGTTAGGGGTATCGGTGTCTCATTTAACCTTCACAACACACCTAAGGCAATAGGCGAACGTGGAGCTGACGGTTCAGACTGCGTGGCTGAGAGCCCGAGCTCATTGCTCTGGGCCAGTGGTGGTGTGAGTGTGAAGAACAGCAGACTCAGGCAGTACCTGCTGCTGGGCAGTGCTGTCGTGGTGGGCGAGGGCTGTTTATTCAGGGAGACAAGCGCAAGTGTGCGGGTGCAGAGTTTGCTGACCCGGGTTCACCTTTGCTTTAGGCTTTAGTCTGTGATAGCCAGTTTGGATGAATATAAGAAGGTTTTTTCCTTCTTGAAGGAAGAACTAACTTGTATTTGTTAGCTGCCTGTACTTTTAGAGACCCAAAGTGTTTATCGTTCATTTCTTCAGTAAGAGTCATGATCATGGATGTCCCAGCCTCCCTGGGGAGAATTATTGGTCACTCAGTCTTGTGATGAGGTTGCCAGGCCCAGGTTCTCTTAGGAAGAGTCCAGAGAAAGCAGCGTCTTGTGGATTCGTTTGTGTGTCTTATGTTCCCTGTATCGGTGGTGAGCACCATGAGAACAGACCTTTCGGCGGGTTTGGGCTAGTGGGGACATGGCTCGCCATACCCCTGGCAGGTGCAAAGCCGTGTCTTAGCCATGTTCTGCTGAATTGGCTTCTCAGGGTCCCAGTCCATTGGAGAGCCTTCAGAACTTGACACGATTTACATAGCTCATGGTTCTCAGTTGATGAAAATCTCATATATGAAAATAAATATTAAAGATTATTCTTATTGCTTCATAAAAAAGAACTATTTAAGATTTATAAATATTCATTTGATCACTATATTTTATATTTTTTAACATAAAGCTGTTGTGTCGGTGACATATTGTTTGTAGTTTTAGAGGTGTTTAATGTCATAAGGTACTCATTTAAAGAAATACCAGATAGGCCCGAGGATGCCAGCACCAGCTCCGAGTACATCCTGTGACCAACCCTCCCTTGTCTTCTCGCAGGAGGAGAGACTTCAGCATGCAAACCTTCATCTGTTCGGCTTGCACCGTCATTTTCATTCCATGCTGCTGGCCTTCAGATGGCTGGACAGATGCCCCATTCACATCAGTACAGTGACCGTCGCCAGCCAAACATAAGTGACCAGCAGGTTTCTGCCTTATCTTATTCTGACCAGATTCAGCAACCTCTCACTAACCAGGTAAGTTCATGACATATCAAAACAATTTGTTGGAATGGTAGTTTATTCCTTAAAATGGTAAATAGGCAAAATGCTTTAATGATTTTCAGTTTTACATGTCAAGTGGGATTCTGGATTGACATAGTATGATGTTAAGAAGTTTGCATTTAAAGAGGGTTTTTTTCTTCTATTTCACTTAAAACACACTGAATGTAATCACATAATCTTATTCTGTGACAGGGAAGGAAAAATATTTTCCTAAAGAATATTAAACTGAAAGCTTATTTTTTTGGTTTTGTTAATTTTCTCATGAGGATATTTTTCCCACTGTTTTTCAGAGAGAGAGTGAGGGATGGGGAGAGAGAAACATCGATGTGTGAGAGACACAGTGACTAGCTGCCTCCTGCATGTGCCCCACTGAGGGTGGGGAGTGAACCCTAACCCAGGTACTTGCCCTTGACCGGGAATTAGGCCCTCAACCCTCAGTGCTCGGACCAATGCTTTAACTATGGAGTAACTTTGGCCAGGGCCCAAAAGCTTATTTATATAGAAAAGGGTGGTTAAGTAGAAGAATGTAAATTATAGGACAAGTCAGAGTTCATTAAAGCAAACTTACATAGCTGATTTTATGCTTTTACTAAAGGCCTGGTGCACAAAATTCGTGCACATGTGGGGGTCCTCTGCCTCGCTGGCGATCAGGGCTGATCAGGGCCATCTTGCCAAGTCCCGATCGGTCAGACCCTGGCAACAAGTTAACCTACCAGACCTGCTCCCTCGTGGTCAGTACACGGCATAGTGACTGATCAGTCAACCGCTTGGTCAGACGCTTAGCATATTAGCCTTTTATATAGAGAGAGATAAAAGCTACTTTTGTATGCATATATTTATAAAAATAAGGACAAAACTCCTTAAATTAAAACAAAAATATGTAATGCAAATTAATCATACTGTTCATTTTGATATTTAGACAGAGATTCAGTGTTTTTTCATAAAATACTTAGTGTAAAGAGAGTAAGTGCTGAAATCTCTGCATATACATACATACATATATGCATGTGTATGTGTATTTTTCATGATTTCCTGAGTTATCTGCACTCATTACATTGATTTTGCTTTTGCTTTGGGAGAAGTTTTGACTTGCTATAGTTTGGAGTTTCTTTCCTCACTGGGATTGAGTCTATGATGAGTCTGAAAATGGCTGTTTTTCCATGTACTTGGGTATTTGGTTTGCCACTGTTTTGTTTAGGTCTTTTAATATATCAAGTGAGGATAAAAAACTTAGAAAACTTCAAAGTATTTCTCACACTGGATTATTTCAAAGTAACGTGTTTGGCTACAGTTAAATAATGTCATTATTAGGGGACAACATTGTATGTATTATAATAAGATTTTGTCACTAGTTGAGCTTGCTTTTTATTTATGAAGTGTGCATGTGTACTATGAATTATGGCAGGACTTAAAAAAATTTTTATGCAGTATATTGGGAAGTTGGATGTTTGGAATTTGACCAGTCAGTCAGAATGTTCAAGTTTGGAAAGTGTTTAATTGTAAGCCAGAAAAAAATTCTTTGACATCCAAAAAGTAGTAATAGCACAAGATTCCATTGCATTGTACTTTTAATAAGCAAAGTAAAGTACAGTTTTATTTTCCTCGTGTTCCAAAGTAGCCTGTCCGGCAGGGTGCCTGTTTCTGTCTGTTTCATAGCTGATGGGACTGCCTCCCTCAGTGTGTGAGCACAGGACCCGGGGCCAGCCCAGGCGTCTCTCATCTCAGATACAGCGCTCTTTGCATTCCAACTCCTGGCAGTAGGAGGGCCGGGACAGATTCCAGTCCTTCCAGTTATTTTATGGTTCTTGTAAGGAGGTAATTTAGCAAAGTACCTACTTTTAGTTATAACAGGTATCTTGTGGATTATTTTAAAATGAGATAATTCACTTAGTATTTTCATTTTAATCTGTAAAATACTTTGAAAGATTTATATAAGATTGTCAAGTATAATTCATATTCAGTATTTATAATATAAAATAAAATTTAGTCCAATATATCTGCTAAACACCAGATTTCTGACCCAATAAATAAGGCAGTCAGATAGAAGGCTTTTTTCCTAGAACCGAAGTGTAAACCACTAAAACTGGGTGCTGCTGTGGTATGTTCTACAAGTCATAGAACATGGGTTCAAGTTTTTATTTATGAGCTGGTTGTATTCCTTCAGTCAGGCCACCTGGACCCTGCTATCTGTCACTTGAATGTAAGATTGGGACCTCGACTAGGACAACCCCTTTAAGTCAGCTTGCTGAGCTTGGGGGTATTCTGAGCACCATAGGCTTTCAGCGTGGAAGGGAAGGAAAGAGCTTGCCCTGATTCTGTATATTCTCCCAACTTCGTGGCTGTATGAAGCAGGAAATGCCGACAGCATCACAGAGGTCTGGCCTTGAGTCTTACTAACTTTGTACTGAGTATTTGGAGGAGTCATTTCCTAGTTCTGGACTTGTGCTGAAGTGGTGACATACAGGCTGGTCCGAAGGCTAATGCTTTTTGTAAACAGAAAGCACCTGGTGTATATATATGAGTGCCCCTGAGATAATACCTTCTGCTGCCAGGGGCATCTGAGAAAGCAAGGCAGTCAGAATCAGCCAGTTGATTTGGCCTTTTAGGCAGTCTGGCCAGTTGTGGGAGAGGTTACAGTATTTTGTGAAGGGCCAAGCACACACGCATGTTGAATGCAGAAAAACACCACTACTGAGTCAGCATTACATTCGTACCCAAGTTGTGCTATGATTGTGTGATCTTGGTGTTTTGAGTGAACATAATGTTTTTGAAATATGTAGTCAGTGGTATATGTTTTTCCAAATGTTTGAAATACCAGTGGAATTATAAATGGGCAAGTAAAAATCTTATATTCAGGATTTGTACATAACTAATTTTAATAAATGCATATGCTTATTTTATTGTCATTTATTGTGCATGACAATTATTTTACCCAACAAATAGCCTAAAAATGATTCAGCTAAGAGGGTAGAACAAAGAGGCTACAAGTGCTAAGGGGTTCCCAGCACAGTGCTGTGGTTCAGAGCCCAGGTGAGGTGTGAGACGGCCTCAGCCGCTCCTCACCCGCATGCCGCCCTGGCTCCGGGGACGCGGCCCAGTGTTTCCTCCAGACGCTCAGGCTTCTCACTGGTAAAATGGTTTTGTGAAATCTCACAGTGAGCTCTCCTCTCATAGTCCGAGCAGCTTCTTGCTAAGTAAATTACCAGCATGAAAATAATGCCGGGTCTTAAAAAATAAAAAGGAAATATGCTAAGGGAAATCTCTTATTACTTTAAATGCTTATAGCATTTATTCACATAAAAATAATTGACGTGCTTATTACTGATACTGTCTATTCATTAAATTAAGTCTTCAAGGAATAGTGTACGAACCCCAGGATGCCTAGTGATGGTGACTATAGCTGTACCTATTATTTATATTTAGAAAAAGAAAACTGTATATTAGAAAAATTAATCAGATTTTCTTATTCTTACTCTTTTCAGATAGTTGTAATCACTGGAGTTTTATTTTTTTTCTCCATAAACCTTATTTGGAACTTTAAGACGGAGAGGATCATGAGAAGAGATAATTATTAACAGTAATTCCATGAATTTATCAACTGGATAACAACTTTTGGAGTTTAAGTATAGGTGCAGAGGAAACTACTGTTAATGTTAGTTAAAGAGGAAGTACAGCTAGATAACTCTCTCCATACCACAGGGATGGCGATTTCTCCTGTCCACTGTCGCCTTATAACCTTCCTCCTCTGGTTTCCAAACTTGATTAATTATTTCAAGACTCCAGATATTTTTGGAGGTGTTGCTTGGTATGAGGTCATTACTGCCTCTGCCCTCAAATTGGCCTGAGGATCCTTTGAGAGGGGCTGCATCAGCAGCTTCTGACTGTCGCCTTGACTGGCATAAAGGCCTGTAAGAGCTAGAAGGACCCCCGGGAGCTAGTGGTGGTGACTGTAGGTAACTTCATGTAACTAATTGGTTTTGAGGATCTAGCGATTGCAAAAGGCCTGATGGGAACCTGAGCGGGGCGCGGACAGCAGGGTTAGGATGTGCTAGTTGCAGCGTTCCTGTCTAGCAGGAACTCACAGATGAACTCTGACTGCCTATGGGATGATGGAAGAGAGGTGGCTTACGATTGAGGATGGGAGGAGTGAATAGAGTATGGTTGAAATGAGGTTTTTAAAAGACAGTTTTATTAGCTGTAAGGTGTCCTGTGGAACTTGTTTGTGGTCACTGCCTATCTAATAAAAAGGGAATATGCAAATTGACCATCACACTGTCACAAAGATGGTGGCACCAATAGCCGTAAGATGACGGCACCCAGTCCCCTCAGCCCTGCTGGAGTCCCCCAGTCCCGGGGGGCGGCAGGCGCGCCTACTGCCAGAGTTCCCAGTCCTTTCACAGAAAATTAGATGCCTCAAAAGTTGGTTAAGCTTCTTAGGACAGAAAGCATTCAAAATCTTTGAAAAGGGAATTCCCATATTTATAAAAGTTTAGATTAGACAATTCAAGGTTTTTTCCACTACAACCTTCTATGATTTTGTGATATTAACATTCTGAATTCACACAGTAGCAGTTGTATTGTGTGTAAGCAGATATTATTGAAAGGAATGGCATTATTATTAAAACAACTCAAAACCACACTGTTTGTTTGTCAAAGACGTTCTGTGTGATTTTCTAAGTGGCTGGAGTTAATGCCCCTAAACAGGCAGTCAGACATCCCCGAGGGGTCCCAGATTGGAGAGGGTGCAGGCCGAGCTGAGGGACACCCCTACCCCCTGTGCATGAATTTCGTGCACCAGGCCTCTAGTTGTAATCATAAGTAAGGATATTGATAGGTATTATGACTGACTCCATTTGTTTAGTCAAATATTTATTAAAAACCTACTGTGTGCCAGACCCTCTTTGAGGCAAAGGGAATACAATATTGAACTTCCTGCCTTATGGAAGTTTCCCTTGTAGAGGAAGGAAAGGAGGAAACAATGGAAATGTGTAAGTGTGTAATGTGTAATCTGCCTGATGTGCTTTGGGCAGTCACAGAGCAGGGAAGGGGGGTGTGGTGGACATGTTGCACCCCGTTGTTAAAGAACTGGGAGCAGGTTTCAGCCTTGCCCACGGGGCTGATGCTTGTCAGAGGGCGGTCTGCTGGTGGGAGTTGCCCTCTGCAGCACCAAGCCCCAGTCCTCCTCCAAGGCCAGCTTCATGCTGCCCCTGAGTCTGAGTGAGGCCAGGCTTTGGGAGTAATTCAGGGGATGTTTTTCACTGCGCTGGTCATATGGTGGAGAAGCCTGCTTGGGCAGCACTTTGTGAGGCCCTTAAACCAGGGGGTCTCTGTAATCCCATCGTCCATTTGGGGAACAGGATTGAAGCCGTGGGCAGCTGGGCATTTATCTGCAATTTCATTGATTCGTTCCAGTGGTCTTCCTCAGTGGAATCTGTTGACAGAAATAACCGAGAGAACGTATAATCATTAATGTAGATGCCTTTTTAAAAGATAACGGGATACGGAAGAGGGGGTTTGTGCTGGTACAGTAAAGTTAAAGTGCTAGTCTTTTCTGTCTATTTAAGGTGATGCCTGATATTGTCATGTTACAGAGGCGGATGCCCCAAACCTTCCGAGACCCAGCAACTGCTCCACTGAGAAAACTCTCTGTTGACTTGATCAAAACATATAAACATATTAATGAGGTAAGACTATTGATTTGTTATGACAGCATCTCTCTTGCAATGGAATAGGGGAAAGTTACTTTGTGACCTATTTAAATGTACTAAACTTTTTTTTTTACCCCTGTGATTGTCATTTGGATGGTTTTTGTGAAGACTGTTAAACTTGGCTTGATTGCCATTTGCTACTTAGCCTTAACGCCAGCTCTGTTATAATTACCGAGGGAGCTTTGGAGAAGAGCAAATGCTGTGCCTCCTTCCCGCCCAGTGTGAGTCCTCTCTGTTCACATCGGAGCCTTAGCCTCTCCAGCTTCAGAGCCATGTAGCTAGAAAGATGTTCTATATAGGTGTAAATTTTACAGCACTTGGATGCTGCTTAATGACAGTATTATTATATTAATGTGACAAGATAAAATTAGAATGAATGCAATGAGGAATATTTCTGAGTTGTATATTACACACAATGTGTTATAAAAGATATGATGCCAAACTAGCTTTTGAATATTACGAATAGCTGATAAATTATTAATAATTTATCAATGTCAATTTGTTAATATCTAATAAATTAAAAAGCCACTGTTAATCTGTTGTTAACAGTAACTTTGTGAAGCTAGTTTTTAAATGTAGTGCTACCTTATAAACTAGAGTTTTTCTAATGCTATTCTGTGAAACCCTAATTTATAATTGCCTTAAAGTTAGTTACCAATTACTTGGACTGTTGCCTAGTTCACCTGTTTTTTGTTTTGTTTTGTTTTGTTTTTAATTGATCTTAGAAACTATTTTGTAAGAAAACGGATATAAGGAAAATAAACCAGCCTGTGATCAGCCTCCAGGCTTCTGGTCCTTAGTATTGGGCAGGGGTGAGGTGGGAGACAGGATGTTTTTCACTAATGGTTACATTATTACAGGCTTAAAAATTGAGCATGTCTAGGAGGGCCTTTATATTAGTAAAACATCAGTTATAGACATTTAAACTTTCATTTGTTAAATCTTGTGCCTTGTGCAACATTGACTGCTTGCTTGCCATGTGACTCCGCCTGGGGGCTGGAGCCTGCAGCGTGGTTTGTGTGCCCTGACCGGCAGTAGAACCTGCGGCTTTTGGTGCCGGGGACAGTGCGCCAACAAGCTAGCCTTACTGGCCAGGGATAAGCAGTGTAACTTAAAGTGAATTTTATTGTAGACAATATTTATTGGTTATGTATTAGTGCCATTGTATGATTCAGATAGCAACTACTGAAGTTTTTTATTTTGTTTTTTTGTATTTGTCATAAAGAGTAAAAATTCATTAATTTCCTACGAATAGCAGATTTGTCTCTTGATATATGCCCCCCTAATCCATAATGTTTAAGTTATACAATCAACACCATATGTTCTCATTTCAGGTTTACTATGCAAAAAAGAAGCGAAGGCACCAACAGGGCCAGGGAGACGATTCCAGTCATAAGAAAGAGCGGAAGGTTTACAATGATGGTTATGACGACGATAACTATGATTACATTGTAAAAAACGGAGAGAAGTGGATGGATCGTTACGAAATCGATTCCTTAATAGGCAAAGGTTCCTTTGGACAGGTAATTTAATGGAAAATGCTGGATTTAATAAGTTTCAATTTCTTAGTGAATGATGTTATATGCTTTCCTCGGTGGCATAGTTTTCAATGTTTGTAAATAGATCTAAACAATGGGTATGTGTTTGGATTGGCATAGCTCTCTAAAGGTAGTACAGTGTATCAGCTATCAAAATCCCTGTGGACCTTTTTTTCTTTTTTATATAGCTACCAAGTGCTTATGTTACTAAAAAATTGATTTTTATGTATTGATTTTAGAGAGGAAGGGAGAGGGAGGGAGAGAGTGTGATAGAAACATCAATGAGAGAGAAACTTGATCTGTTGCCTCTTACTGGCCCCCTACTGGGGATATAGCCCAAAACCCACGCATGTGCCCTGACCAGGAATCGAATCATGATCTTCTGGTTCATAGGTCGATTCTTGCCATTGAGCCACACCAGTCGGCACTGAGAGGTTGATTTTAATCACAAATATGGGCCTGCGGTTCATATGCGCTTTGTGTAGTCTATGGCTGATTCTTTATTATGAATGCTAGAGATAATTATCCCTGTCTGGTATTCCTCCTCAAGGAGCAAAGCATCTCTGATTTTTAGCTGGCACAGCAGGTGGCCTCTCCCTCCCTTTTTGGAGGCTTGGAAAGCCAGGGGCTGTGCCCTGGGTTTTTCTCTCAACTCATCTTCTGTCTGTCAGGCCTCTCCTCCTCCAGTGCTCACAGCAATCAGCATGGCTCAGTGTAATGGGGTCAGTTGGATGCATGAAGAGGATCATTCAGGGAGCTTCTATCAGGAACAACAAGGAATGTGGGAATGCCAAGGAAACTCTTTGTTTTTCTTCATTCCTGGCCTCTTTACCCATAACTCTCCTTTCCTCACCTGCCCGCCCCGCTTCAACACAAAGCACAAAACCTCACTACAGTAGTCTCTTTCATCAGCTGTGCTCAGACCAATAGCTAGCCAGCTTCCTCCCTGCACTTAAAAAGCGTTTCTGGGCTGTGGGTCCCCAGCTCTTTGCACTGTAAGTTCTTTCTCACTGAGTCTCAGAGCTCTTTTGTTTGAAGTGTGATTTACTGTTAATCCCAGAATATTTGTCTTGCAACCTTTGTGCTCTGAGTCAGTCATTAACTTGCAGTCCAATTACTTTTGACTTCTTCTTTTTAAAAAAAAAATATTTTATTGATTTTTTACAGAGGAAGGGAGAGGGATAGAGAGCCAGAAACATCGATGAGAGAGAAACATCGACCAGCCGCCTCCTGCCCATCCCCTACCGGGGAGTGCCCGCGGCCAACGTACATGCCCTTGACCGGAATCGAACCCGGGACCTTTCAGTCTGCAGACCGACGCTCTACCACTGAGCCACACCGGTTTCGGCTTCTTTTGACTTCTTAATGATGAGGATAGAAGGGGTCTCAAAATGACTCATCCTGAACTACCTTTTAAAATTTTATTTTGTTTGTTTTTTGTTTTTCTTTAAGTATGGGATCTGCGTGCATTTACTAACCTGTTCCTACCTGGAGAGAAAGGAACATATACCTCTCTTTAACCTGTGTGGAACACGTTCGTCATTTGTCAGTCTTACCATGCTTAGGACAAAAAGAATACCGTGGGTCGTTAGCAGCCATAGGTGTAGACCCAGGAAAGTCTATGCTATTCAGTAAGCTTGAAAGGAAACATGAGCAGGATTGTTAGACCTCTGGAACTTTGGTGTGGCTTTGCCAGGCCTTTATGTTCCATTTATATGTCTGTCCCTTCAAGGAATTTTAGTGATTTTACATAATGCAGGGGCTTTTCCCTTGATTTGTAACCTCGTTTTCTTCTTAGTCAGAGGTATTTCAGTGTGTGTGGAGTCCCTCTTTTATGAAAGTGCTAGAGGCCCAGTGCACGAATTTGTGAAACTGTGGGGCCTGCTTGATTGTGCCGAAACTGGCTCTGTGACATCCCCTGAGGGGTCCCGGATTGCAAGAGGGTGCAGGACAGACTGAGGGACCCCATCGGTGCACAATAGCGGACAGCAGGAAGTTGGCCCGCTGGAGAGGGACCATGGGAGGGCTCCAGGGCATGTCCGGCCCATCATGCTCAGTTCGATCAGCCGGACCCCAGCTGCAAGCTAGCCTACTTGTCAGAGCATCTGCCCCATGGTGGTCAGTGCACATCATAGCTAGTGGTTGAGCAGTCTTAGCATAGCATTAGCTATTATGCTTTGGTTGGTTGAACGGATGACCGAACACTTAGCATATTAGGCTTTTATTATATAGGATTATTTGTTTTGTTAGAAACAGCTCCTGTTTCTCTCTCAAAGTTTCTTAAGGAAAGTTACTTCTGAAACCAGCTTTTGAGAGTGATTCTCAACACCTTCAATACAGGGATTGTTGTCTCCACCTTGAAAATTACACCAACCTGTAAGCAATTGCTGTCAACAGGATTTTTTTACTTGTGTGATGTCCACTCTGAAAATTATAGCCATGTAGCCTACTCTTTAAACTTCGCTTTCCCTAAATACTCAGTGTCTGAGGTCAGAGTGATGTTTTCTTCCTCTTTCATTTTAATTTTCTTCTACTCTTAATTTCTGTAAACCTATGACAATGTAGGCCTCTTTGACATAAAGCTTCACTTCACCAGGCCAGGTTGATGCCTCTCTCCTATGCTGTTGGTGTGCTCTGATTCAGGCCACCTGCCACTCACCAGACAATGTCCTCCATTGGCTCGGTTAGACTCTCTGAAGGCTCCACCAGACCCTTGTTAAATCAGGGCTCCTTCACTTCGTTAGCCGATGGTTGTCCTCATTGCATGTTGAAATGTCCCTGGGAAGCTTGCTGGGGGAGGCGAGGAAGGCCGGGGAGGGGGGGGTGCGGGGGAGAACTGATGCTTAGACTCTATACCAATTAACTCAGAATCTGTGACTGGATTCTGGGCATTGGCATTTTCAAAACCTACCTATTAAATGTGTAATTCAGGGTTAAAAACCATTGTTTTGGCATTCAACGGTTAACTATTTGCTAAGTCAGTAAATAGTTGGGCCCTGTTAGTGGCCTTTGTCCTGGATTTTATCGGGATAGAGGCATCGGCGCAGGCAGCTAGTCAGTGTTCACAGGGCAGTCTCTGCCTTAAAAGGCAGAAGGTAATGGTTTTCAGGATGGCTGGAACTGGAGATACTACACTTTTCCCTCCACGTTTGATTTCAGCTGAGCCATTTATATTGTCATTGACCATCTCTTTATCTTACATAAATCTTGGAACATACATTCTGTTTTCTTCTGTAACTCAGTGGTACTCAACCTACAGGGTGGAATCACTTGTAATTCTACCTGCACCCCCAGACTTTCTGAATGTGCAGATTCTGTATGATATTATAAATACAACTTATTTAATCAGTTATAGTCGCTATTCCTGATGGATAGAGATAGTTTCTTTTATCTATATTGATTTCTTAATTTTTATGTAAATCTCTTTGTTAACATGAAACTCATTTTAAATGAGTAAATTTTAAATGAGAAATGTGCATGGTGATTTAGTCATGAACACTCCTGACCTTAGCACTGATTCTCATTTTAAAACAATCAAAATTCTCTATGACATTTAGTGTACAGAGGGATGGGCAAAAGTAGGTTTATAGTTGTGAAACACAGTTTATTCTTGTATGAATTATAATATTATTTTCCATACAAACAACTGTAAACCTTCTTTTGCCCACTCCTATATTGTGGAACTTTCCTGGTAATTTATATTTGATTTTTTTTTTAGTGTAAACTAATTTTTATTTTATATGCCTATGTTATCTTTGAAACTATAATTTAGAGTTAGAAATTTATCTACATTTTTCAGGTGACTTAGGACTTTTGATATATTTTATGCTAACACTTAGGATTTAAACCAGGTTTTATTTTGTTTTTTTCTCATTAAAAGAACATAACAGAATTGTCTTACAGTGTTATTTAATAAGATGAAAAACCAAAGCACTTGTTAAAATTTATTTTTGAAACAGGAAAATAGTTAATCCAATTTTGTTAAAGTTATCTATTTTGTAGATACTTAGAAATACTATAAGGATGCAAAAGAAATTCAATAGAAAAGATTGACGTAAAGTGACTGTAAAGTAGTAAATGAATGATATTGAATGGAAAGGAATAGGATCTCTTCTAAGTAGGAACGTCATGAAATGAGTCAGGTAAATTTACAATTGAGGTGAATTGTCACTGCTGGGAAATGGTCGCCATTGTGAAACAGAATCATTCCTCTTTCTTCTCTCTCAGGTTGTGAAGGCATATGATCGCGTGGAGCAAGAGTGGGTGGCCATTAAAATCATAAAGAACAAGAAGGCTTTTCTGAACCAAGCGCAGATAGAAGTGCGGCTGCTTGAGCTCATGAACAAACATGACACGGAAATGAAATACTACATAGGTAAGCAAGCGGGACCGAGCGGTGGCGTGCCTGATCCAGGCCAGAGATTTGAGTTAGTGGTTAAATACTTTGATTTTCTCTTTAACGCGATTGACTAAAAGCTCAGTTGTTTATTTCTGTTGGTGGGCGTAGATTTATATAAGGTACCTGATCTGGCAATGATATGCTAAGTTTTGGGGACTGTGCATTATAAATGGCATACAGTTCAGAATCAAACGAGAATAGTGACTTTGGAGGGTCAGGGAGGACCAAGAAGTCCCATTTGTTTGCTTTAGTCATGGACATTTATCCAGGAAATCTTCTTCCTGATTACTTGAATCATTTCTAATACAGATCAGTAATGAGAAGTAAACTCGTATGTTTGTTCATAATGGTTTTAGAACCATTTTTGGTATGGCTGAGTCAAAATCTTAGCTCCTCCGGCTGTCTATAAGTTTGGCAGCATTAGGAGCTGTTGGACTGATTACAACAGAAAGGAGATAATAGCCACCATTTATTGAACTCTTACCATATTCTTGTGCTTTTCCTGTATCATCGATAATAATCATAGCAGTCCTGTAAGGAAAGTGGGAGAATGTTTATTCACAGGTGGTTTGTATAAAGAGGAACAATACCCAAGGCCCAGGGCTCTGGAGACAGGATGTGAACCTGACTGCCTGACTCTGCAGGCTGTGTTGGTTTCATTGTCATGTGGTGTTTTTCTATGAAAACAAAATGAGACAGAAGAATTAGGAAAATAGTGACGCCTAGGGCTGATTTGTACATGGGCAAACATTTAATTATCCATTCTTCAATGCTCTTAACCAAATCTAAGATGCCCGTGAGTGTGAGATGCTAATAATTTATGTGCTACCAAGAAACAGTTGCTGCCCAGGATAAATATAAGATGCCATCAGTTTTATGATAGAGACCTTAGAATCAATTAATGGTAGAAGTACCTGTAGGTATATATTCATAGCAATTTAGATTCAGGAATGCTGGCTTTACTTAATAAACATGAGGTTAAATTTTACTTAGCAAGCTCCTTTTAAGAAAATAAGGGAGGACATTGTGGTGTTAAAGGTTTTATTAGTCCCCTGAATGTGGTTGAAACAAGAGAATGCATGTTAAAGGTATAATGTTCTGATACTCAGGGTAGATTCCATTTTTGAAACGCCCTTCACTCCCCATTGTACAATAAAAGGAGCTTATGCTATTTCTTTTTCTTCCTCGGGTTCTTCTCTTTAGATATCAGATATAATTGATAGTAATACCATTAGGATTTAAAGCCTTTTTTACTCAGACTTACTGGACATGTGCTGTTCGCTGTGATTATAACTTAGTGTAAGGGTAGCTCGTTTCCACAGAAGGGGCTTTAGCAGCACAAGAAGGACCTCCTAAGGATGCTCAGCTTTCAAAGTGGTCTCTGGACACGCCCTCCTCTTCCTCACTCTTGTGTGTTCTATTTTGAATGTTGCTAAAGTTGAGAGAAAATGTTGATGTGTTACTGTAATATTTTAACCTTGCTTTATTGAAAGAAAACATGGCAGGCATATACTAAGTACTCAGTAAATGTTAGCTATTCAGCTCTTACATAATAACAGTGATCATTTTTGTTTTTGGTAAACTGATGATCATTAAATTGTATAAGTCAATACAGATATTCTTTTGGATGAGTTTTTAGGTTCTTTTAGGAGGATTGTGAATGCAGTGTCACAAAAAATTGAGGTTCTAATATTGGAAAACAACAAATAAAGAACTTCAGAATTAGATGCAGACATACCAGTAGAGTTGATACCTTAAATTTAAGGTGTCTGAAAGTCCTATTGCTCTTTTAAATTGTAAATTATAATGTAAACTAGAGGCCCAGCACATGAAATTCGTGTGTGGGTGTGTGTGTGTGTGTGTGTAGGGGTTCCCAGTCCAGCCTGCACCCTCTCCAATCTGGGACTACTTAGGGGATATCCAACTGCCGGTTTAGGCCCCATCCCAGAAATTGGGCCTAAATCGGCAGTCAGACATCTGTCTTGCAATTCGGGACCTCTGGCTTCTAACCACTTGTCTGCTGGCCTGCCTGATTGCTCCTAACCACTCTACCTGCCGGTCTGATCACCCCTAACTGCTTCTGCTTGCCGGCCTGACTGCCCCTTAACTGCGCGCGCCCCCGCTGGCCTGGTCACCCACACAGCCTTTTTGTTCAGTCCTTTGGTCATTCCTCACTAACCCCCCTGCCGGCCTGGTTGTAGGTAGCCATCTTGTGAGGGTGCAAGGGTTAATTTGCATATTACCTCTATATTATATAGGAGGGTTAAAAGCATTCTAATCTCAGCTTCTTAGAGGGATTTTCATAATCACACTGGAATTCTGACATCAGTTACCTTTGCATTCTTTTTGTAGCTACTGCTTACTCATTAAAACTTTTGCATGGATCATTTCTTGGGTGTCGTATTGTCACACTGGCTGTGTTTTTAGTTTTAAACCCGTGAACTTCAGTGATTAAGAGCAGATGTTATACATTCTTATGCAACATTTAAGGATTCTTCTTATTTGCGAAGTGTTGGTTTCTACTACAGACTCCTACAGAGTCATGTAGTATTCATATTGAGTTGTTTGTTCTAATTTTAGATCATGTGTATCAGGAGTGATCTAAAAGCAGTATTGTTACCAGGACAACTCATTGTGTCCCCTTCCTCAGAGACCAGCCAGTGAATACTGTCATAGTTACTCCAGATCTATCTGCAGAGAAACCTGTTTTTGTGTGCAGAAGACCCAAATGAAGGCACCTGTGATAAATGGTGGTTTCCTATCACTCCGTTTGGTGTGTGTAAGAATATGATAGTGAAGGGCAGCTTTTATTGAGTGACCTCATCTGATGTGAAGTCAGTGTTGATACTTAAAGTACAATCTTTGAAAAACTTCATAAGTATGAAACTTTTATAGAGGTCAACCGGGACAGCAGTAATGTGTTCTCTACTCTTTCCTCTTCATAAGTCTGCTTATAATTCCTTCTTGTAATTGAACTTTATTTTGAAGTTTTTCCAAACCTTCAGTATTGCAAAAGATGTCCCATGTATCAGTTTGATTAACATAATCAAATGCTTTATGAACTATGTCTTCTGATGCCTGATTTTTAGACATTTGCTATATTTGCTTAAAAGAAAGAAAAATCTGTATTTTCCTTTGACTTGTTACAGAAAATGACTAGTGAAACCTAAGAGTCAACCAAGCAGATTGTGTATATATGCCAAAGCCTTCCCAGAGAGGGCTGTCCAGGACAGTGTTACCGCAGACTGAGGTCCTGGGTGGCACTCAGACCAGTGGTGAGGCAGGTACCGGAGTTGAGCGCGGGCAGTCACTGCTATGTTCTTAGGGCTATTCACCAGGCTGCTACTCATATTTGTAGACCCGAGTCACCTTTTTTAAAACAAGGCGTTTTGGTGGTACTTCTTCCTGGCAGACAGTGCACCTGGTTCATTCAGCACATGAACAGTTTAGCTGTTTTGAACGGATTAAAGAATTTGCTGCTAGTGCAGAATGCTGATCTCCAAATTTTAACTTGATGTTCACTCGGCATTTGACCTTGTAATGTTATAGATGATTTGAGAGTTCATGCATACATTATTCTCATTTTCTTGGTCAGTGTGTGATTTACACGGAAACTCTTCTCTTTCAGTGCATTTGAAACGCCACTTTATGTTTCGAAACCATCTCTGTTTAGTTTTTGAAATGCTGTCCTACAACCTCTATGACTTGTTGAGGAACACCAATTTCCGCGGTGTCTCTCTGAACCTGACGCGGAAGTTTGCACAGCAGATGTGCACCGCGCTGCTGTTCCTCGCGACTCCAGAACTTAGTATCATTCACTGTGACCTGAAGCCGGAGAACATCCTCCTGTGCAACCCCAAGCGCAGCGCCATCAAGATTGTGGACTTCGGCAGTTCCTGTCAGTTGGGGCAGCGGGTGAGTACGTTTTGGGAGTTGGGAGTTACATAGAATCACGTAAAAGCAGTAGGTATGTGAGAGATTAGCAAGGTCTACGCAGTGCGGAGGTCATTACCGGACGCGATTACTGGCTGTGTCAGGTGGGAAATAGGTCGTCTTAGTAGCAGGGAGTCTTTGGGGCCTACTGATGGTGCTAGCTTATAAAAATCCGGAAACGTGTAGTTCTCCTGGTCTCTTTGAATGAGGCTTTCTTTCCGAGAGGCCTTGAGGTTGGGCTGACTTGCCAGTGGGACATGAGGTGAAGCTTGGAGACCCGTGTGGTCGGAGCCACAGAAACACTGGTTAAAAACGACATCGCATTGCCAGCTGCTGGTTTGAGTGTTCACATAGAAAGTATACTTTGAAGGATTTGTTTCCTGCTTTTTTCATAAAAACTTTCTTTGCTGATACTTCTACATATGAAATTACAATGGCTAAGTGAAGATAAATTGGTCTGTGAAGACATTTCAGATTTCTTCATTGAAAATAACCCACCTCAATACTTTGTTTTCTCAGAAGTCTTAGATTGAGGTGGGAGGGGACCGGGCAGAGAAGTGGTTAACCAGAAACAACTCCTGATTGAGTCTTTATGTGGCAGTGTCTCTAGGATTCATCTGGGATACAATCTAGTACAGATGCCTGGATTGTACATACAGTGGGCCTAAGTTAACCTAAAAAAGGTTAACTTTCTATACAGGTTAGCTGTTAAATTAATGGTAAACCCAGTGCCAGCCATAGCAACAAAGAATAATAAATAGGAAAATAAATTATTCTCAATATTTTCTTGTAATAAGGCCTCATTATTTGTTTTAAGATGTCTCTTTTTACAAGTTAGGACTGAACTAAATGAAAGGACTTAAATTGTGCATAGCTTGCATTTCACAGGCAGACTAGCCATTTCTGGGACATGCTTAGTTCTTTAAACAATATTCATAGGTCGTTTTTAAAATCAGGAAATGGAACCCTAATTTAGGAGTTAGATAATTTTTTTTGTTTTTTGTTAATATTAGATCAGTGCTGTTAATCCAATATTGGCTACAATTAAAACTTATTTTGTAATTAATGCTGTTTTGCAATATATTTCAGATATACCAGTATATTCAGAGTCGCTTTTACCGGTCTCCAGAGGTGCTACTGGGAATGCCTTACGACCTTGCTATCGACATGTGGTCCCTTGGGTGTATTTTGGTTGAAATGCACACTGGAGAACCTCTGTTCAGCGGAGCCAATGAGGTATGTGGTGGATTGCTTTGAAAATTCTCTTTTCATAATTTATTTTTGTTTTTAGTCTGACAGAGGAATCTGAAAATTGTTTTTTTACCAATGTAATCATCCAAATATTAGGGTAGTTTTGAGTTATATTATCAATTTTTTCAGTTATTATATAATGGTGATGTGGGAAGTGAGAACTTTTAATCTGCTAGTAAAGAAGAACAATAAAAAATAAGAAAATGTTAAGTATCTTGGTACAAATTTTACAGGTTTTAAGTATAATAACAGAAAATGATGATAACGAAGACATGAGGGGCAATCATTCAGGGAAAAAGGAGACATATATAATAATTTATACAAACAAACAAAAATCATAACCAATAAAGTTGATAAGATATTGAGTCTGAATAATTTAGGGTAAATTAGTATTAGAGTGTTTTAGAGCTATAACTCTAGTAATTTTCTAGTCCACGGGTTTCTGTGTTGTGTGTTAGAAGATTTTTGAAGGTCAGAGGGCAGTGCCTGGGAGGACAAGGGAGAGGCAAGTCCCTCGCAGGCAGAGGAATGAGCTTTCATTAGTTTTAAAACTACTCACTAGATGGTTAAGGGGAAAGGGAGTCAAGTACATGGCGATGGAAGATGATTTGACTTTGGGTGGGTGCACACATGGAATATACAGATCATGTGTCATAGAATGTACACTGGAACCTATATTTTTTATTAACCAACGTCACCCCAGTAAATTTAACTTTAAAAATAATAATCTGCCTCCTTAAAAAAACCTGTGGTTTTTTTATTTTTAAAGAAAAGTTAACCATTGCAGGTCTTGACCAGTTCATTCATTATGAATGAGAAAAGAAAGATCAATGAGGTTTAATGATTGGTACTGGGTGATGCAGCTGTTAATAGGCTGAGCTACTGTCTGGCAGTAACTGCCATAGTGTGTTTCTTCTTGTTTTAATATAAATTGGTATAAAGTTTACTGTAAATTGGCATCTTTTCATGGGCTTAAACAGTGTCAGGGTCACCTGGAACTTGTGGCTTCCATCTCACCCTTGGAAATGCCAGGGTCCGTGGACCCCTTCCTTCCCTGACTTTTGTCCTCTCTCCCGCTTGTGTCTTCTCTGTGTCCCCTCCCGCTTTCTGACCCAGCACACATCCTGTCTGTTCCTTGGAAGCAGTAGGCCCGTTAGCGGGGCTGTGCATTGTTTGCCCTGACCCTGACATGCTCCTCCAGAAAGCACTCGGCGTCCTCCCGCACTGCCTTTGGGTGTGCTCCAGGGCACTGTTCCGGGCACCGTTCCTGGCCCTGGCTGAGTTGTGCTGCCCTTCCTCACTCCCATCCCCTTTTTGTTTTCTCCTGGTTCTTGTCATTCCACATCATATGCTTAGTATTCTCTTAGTGGTGAGCGCTTCCCCTGTCACATAAACTTTGTGGGAGGGAGTTTTGTCTGTTTAGTTTAATGTAGGAGACGCATTATTTGAATGAATCTGCACTTACAAAAGGGTTTATTAGTTCCACACTGTATTAAGCCCCTGGAAATTTTTGTGTGGTTATTTAACTGAACTTCTAACACTCCCTCCAATCCTTTTTCTACTTTGTTTCCATGACCACTGACATACTTACACATACTACAGGCTTATGTGTTCATTTCTGTGTCTGCCCTTCCCTCGGAAAGCTGGGGCTTCCGGGAGGGCAGGGACTTGTCTCTTCCGGTCCTTATTGCACGCCCATCGCCTAGAGGAGGCGGCACACAGAAGATGCTCACCTTACTTAATTACAATTTATGAGGGATGAACGAATTAATGAGCAGAAGTAGGATGTCTACCATAGAAATTACAGGTGTTTTTGTTTTTATTTTTAATACAGGTAGATCAGATGAATAAAATAGTGGAAGTTCTGGGTATTCCACCTGCTCATATTCTTGATCAAGCACCAAAAGCAAGAAAGTTCTTCGAGAAGTTGCCAGATGGCTCTTGGAACTTAAAGAAGACCAAAGATGGAAAACGGGTAAAACGGGGACATATTTTCTTGAGCCTTTGTTATTTCTTTCACTGGAGTTGTCTTAATAGCTCATTTTGTATTGACTTGAAATCAGTGTTAGAGTTGGCACTTTCAGTAACTCAGGTATATAATTTTTTCAAAAGCTGGGTATGGCTTGACCTGATCTGTAGGGGCCAGTACTGCTTAATGGTCAGAGTTCTCTCTGGGGTTCATTATGACAACTGCATGTCTGCCTTCGGACAGCTGGCCAGGCCCCAGGGCTGGGCTCAGCAGTAGAATCAGTAAGTTTGCCCTTTGTTTCTCACCGCTAGTGTTTATAGTAAATTCCCAGTTAATAGTCCTGCAGCTGTGGACAGTGGCAGTCATAATTGCAATAAATGGATTTGTTTTTTTTTTTTTCCGTTTAGATGGGAGAAAAAGATTTTTTACTTAAGGAATGTGTGACAAGAATATGAACTGACTAGATGGTTCTTTGATTGGCATTATATTCCTAGCTTGATGACATGCTTAACAGGAACTTCACATCTCTAAAATCTTTAAAAGTGAAGTTTTGAAACATTAGGTTTGTTTCAGTGATTTTTTTTTTTTAATTTGAGAGCTTTTTTCAGATGCCTAAACTAATTAGTGATTTACCTTTTTGTTTTATATATCTGAAAATATTCATGTATTTTGTAAGCTAGCTTGTTTTATTACAAAATGAATATAACTGTTAAATATGTGATTGTGTATGATAAATAACAGACACCTTGTGAGTGTAGTTTCGCTTTTCTGACATTTAAGAGGTTTTATTTATTTATTTATTTATTTATTAATATATTTTATTGATTTTTCACAGAGAGGAAGAGAGAGATAGAGAGCTAGAAACATCGATGAGAGAGAATCATCGATCAGCTGCCTCCTGCACACCCCCCACTGGGGATGTGCCCGCAACCAAGGTACATGCCCTTACCCGGAATCGACCCTGGGACCTTTCAGTCTGCAGGCCAACCCTCTATCTACTGAGCCAAATCTGTCCCAGCTAAGAGGTTTTATTTTTGCTTTAGTTTTTATCTTGCCCTTGCATTTTAGCGACGCTGCCACCATGTGCCACTCCCAGGAACTGAAGATTATTGTTGGCTTTAATTCACCTTCATATAGCTTTGGAGCCTTCACTTCTAATATCAAGTGATTTTTTTTTTTTTTTTTAAGAATATCTTAGACTATACATGTAATTGTATCTTTCACAACTGATTTCTAACTTACTGCATTCTGCCTTACTCTACGACCCAGGCAGTGGACTGTCCAGCAGCTAATTATGCCCCCTCCCCATAAGGAAGGGATGGAAAATACCAAGCGAACATCCGGGTCTTTTCCCTTTGATCACATTGCTGCCAGTCAGGACCCGTTCCCACCGAACCACAGCACACTGGGACCCTCCGCTTCGCCCGCGTCCCCGGCAGCCCTGCCCACTCGGTTTTCACTGGCGTGAGGGCACGGAACCTACTTTGTTTTCGCTCTCTGCAGGCTGCCGTTTCTTCCTCTGTTCGAAGCTGTCTTTTCCCTGTGCTATTTCTGTTCTTTTTCTAAGTAAAATGTTCATCCCATCCAATTTCCCAAATCTCTACCACAGATAAGTCACTATGGGCTATAGCCTGTCATTTCTTCCAAATTTGGGCTGTAATTATTATTATTTTTCATTATTTCCCTTCCTAAAATTAAAAGTATTTTAACCTATATTTAACTATCTTTTTATGAGATTTCCCATAGCCACAAGTAGCAGCCAACTTAAGAAACTAAATTTTTAAAAGTATAAAGTGACTATTTCTCTATGAACAGAAATAGATTTTGTTTAAAAAAAATGACACAAACCAACACCCCGCAAATCTACAGCCTAATGATTACATTATGAAGGATGTACAAGAATTTTAACATAAGTGATTTTATTTTTACTTTTAATTTCTCATTATATTTCATGAGCCCATTTTAGCTTCCTAGTAATGAAATCCATATCTACTATATATTTATTTTTTTCCTTTGGTGGAGAAGGGGGATAAAGAATTAAGACTATAAACGATGCTGTTTTGTTAAAGCATCATTTTTATACAATTAGGTGCATTCTCATTCCATGTTCTTGAGTTTTAATCTTTATATACTAGAGGCCTGATGTACAAAATTTGTGCATGAGGGGAGAGGGGCGGATTCAGCCTGGCATGCACCTTCTCGCAGTCCGGGAGCTCTTGGGAGATTCCCTACTGATGGCTTATTCTCACTTCCCATGAGGAGTGGGCCTGAGCCATCAGTTGGACATCCTTAGCACTGCCATGGAGACGGGCGAGGCTCCTGCCACTGCCACTGCACTCGCCTGCCATGATCCTGGCTTCTGGCTGAGTGGTGCTCCCCCTGTGGGAGCGCAGTGTTCTGCCCCCTGGTGGTCAGTGCGCATCATAGCAACCAGTTGCTCTGCCATTTGGTTGATTTGCATATTAGCCTTTTATTATATAGGATAACATATCTACTATCTAAAACAAGATATACAAGGATGGGCAAAAGTAGGTTTGCAGTTGTATCGTGACATTCTTTTGAGTTAATGCAACTATTATAATAGTCATAACTTGCATGCATTTTTCCTTATGAACAGCTGGAAGCCTGCTTTTGCTCAGCCCTTATTTCTACTGCCCCAGAAGTTTTCTCCTGACCCCTTTCTCTCATCTCACCCCTGCTTTCTGATTTCTATCATCAAAGGTTGTTTTGCCCATTCACAGGCAAAATTTCTATAACTGGAACTCCATAGTATTTATTATTTTGTTTCTTTCACTTTACAAACATTGCTTTTGGAGACTCGCTCATATTGTGTGTCTCAGGAGTTATTTTTTTATTTTTTGATATATTTTATTGATTTTTCACAAAGAGGAAAAGAGAGGGCAGCTGCCTCCTGCACAAGCCCCACCGGGGATGCGCCCGCAACCAAGGTACATGCCCCTGACCGGAATCAAACCCGGGACCTTTCAGTCTGCAGACTGACGCTCTATCCACTGAGCCAAACCGGTTTTGGCATCAGGAGTTATTTTATTGTTTCCTAATATTTCATTGCATAGAAATACCGTAACATCTAGATTTGCCTTTTGATGGATATTTGTTTATTTCCAGTTTGGGATATTATGGATAAGGCTACTGGTGACATTCTTTTTTTTAAATACATTTTATTGGTTTTTTACAGAGAGGAAGCGAGAGGGATAGAGAGCCAGAAACATCGATGAGAGGGAAACATCGTCCAGCTGCCTCCTGCACACCCCCACTGGGGATGTGCCCGCAACCATTGCACATGCCCCTGACCAGAATCGAACCCGGGACCCCCCCAGTCCGCAGGCCGACACTCTACCACTGAGCCAAACCAGTTTCAGCTGGTGACATTCTTGTATAAATCTTTTAAATATATGTTTTCATTTTTGTGGGGTCACTAACCAGAAGTAGAATTATTGCCAAGTTTTAGGGATTATGTGTGTTTACCTTTGTAAGAAAACACTACACAGGATGCTAGTTTTATCATTTCACCTTCCTACAGCGAGAGGGCTTCAGTTGTACGGGGCTTTGTTTGCTTAACTTGGAATCGGGTCTCCGCTGTCCTTTCAGTGTGTGAGCGGTGCTGGTGGGGCTGTGTGTACAGTGTGTGAGCGGTGCTGGTGGGGCTGTGTACAGTGTGTGAGCGGTGCTGGTGGGGCTGTGTGTACAGCGTGTGAGCGGTGCTGGTGGGGCTGTGTGTACAGTGTGTGAGCGGTGCTGGTGGGGCTGTGTGTACAGCGTGTGAGCGGTGCTGGTGGGGCTGTGTGTACAGCGTGTGAGCGGTGCTGGTGGGGCTGTGTGTACAGCGTGTGAGCGGTGTTGGTGGGGCTGTGTGTACAGTGTGAGCGGTGCTGGTGGGGCTGAAGGATCTCTTCACTTTGCCCATCGGGCAGCCCGCTCCTGCCTGTGCCTCAGGCCCTCTGTTCTAACTGCTGCTCCGCCCAGACTTCACCGTGCCCAGTCCTGCCGGCTCCTGCCTCGGTCCACGCTCCGCCCCTCCTCAGGCCTGTTCACAGGCAGCTGTCAGCCGTCGGTTGGAGCGGGGTGGAGCTCTCCTTGCCCGGACCTATGACAGGCGCTCCTCACCTGCTTCTCCTAGGAAGCGCTGTGCATGTTCTAGAATGCCCTGGGTTCTGGTTTCTGAGCCCTCGCTCTCTGATGGGTTTTTAAAAAGCAGTGCTTGCTGTGGCTTACCGCCAGGCTGGTTTTTCTTCAGTGAGAGCAGCGGTCTTCTGCAGTTTCTACATTGTAACTAGAAGCCAACATCCAGTGATTTTATGTTTTGAAATTTTCTAGCCACAGTGCAATTGGAGTATTATTATACATGTGAACAAACATTAGAGGACTTAACTGTAAACCTGACGAGTTTCAGTGAAGGCCTCAGTCTGTAACAGATTTAGCGTTTTTAAGATTAAGTAGACTTTTGCCTATCCGATCAAACTCACAGAAAGCCTTTCTGTTTTTCTTCCGTGCAGGAGTATAAACCACCAGCAACCCGCAAACTCCACAATATTCTCGGCGTGGAAACGGGAGGGCCTGGTGGCCGGCGGGCTGGCGAGTCGGGTCATACGGTAGCTGACTACTTGAAGTTCAAAGACCTCATTTTAAGGATGCTGGATTATGACCCCAAAACGCGGATTCAACCGTACTACGCCCTGCAGCACAGTTTCTTCAAGAAAACGGCGGACGAAGGCACCAACACCAGTAACAGCGTGTCCACGAGCCCCGCCATGGAGCAGTCCCAGTCCTCGGGCACCACCTCCAGCACGTCGTCCAGCTCAGGTCTGTCCTCAGGCACAGGTGGGGCTTCCGCTCGTTCTCTCTCTTACCTGGGGGGGGGGGGGTCTGGTTCTCAGGCAGCTGTTCCTGGGGCGGGGCGGGGCCATCTCACCTAGCTAGTCATCCAGTTAGTAAGGTCAAACTTTCATGGTGTTTTAAATGGGAATAGTTTGTCCGCATGCTTACACTTCCCCTAGCAAAACCATCCCGATCTGTTGTAGTTCAGGGTTGATGTGCATGAACTGAATCAGGAATGCGGTGACTTCCTTTCAATGCAGATTTTGTGTGTGACACACTTTTAGTGCTAACGTTAGTTTTAACGATAGACTCGAACAAAACTGCCTGTGTCCTCACCGTGGTTTGTGTTGCAATGCTTCAGGTGGGTCCTCGGGGACGAGCAACAGTGGGCGAGCCAGGTCGGACCCCACGCACCAGCATCGGCACAGCGGCGGGCACTTCTCAGCCGCCGTGCAGGCCATGGACTGTGAGACACACAGTCCCCAGGTGAGCTCGCCCCGCCCTGGTGCCGCTCCTGCCCGCGCAGGCCGGCGCATCGCTGCTGAGTGCCTGCGGTGAGGGCACGGTCTCAGGGTCACCGCTCCCCCTGTGAGGAATTAGGACTGAAGAGGCACATCCGTGCAGTCCCCTGGTTATAAAGTGTTCACATTCACTGGGCGCACACCAGCCATTGCTAAAAAGGTCTCTTGTTTTACTTGTTGTTGACTGCATCTACCCCAGGTGTGATTTTTATTTGAAACACTTTTGAAAGGAACTTCTCTTTGTTTTTTTTAATATTGTTATTGATCCCAGAGAGGGGGAGAGAGAGAAACATCAATAAGAGAGAAGCATTGATGGGCTGCCTCCTGCACACCCCACACTGGGGATGGAGCCCACAACCCGGCATGGGCCCTGACCAGGAATTGAACCGTGACCTCCCCCCCCCCCCCCCCCCCCGCAATCTCTCCGCGCCAGCAGTCCTGGGTTCTAATCAGTTTGTAGTTTGATTTCAGCTCCACATTGTTTTGTATTCTTCTGGGGGTTTTTCTTTTTTTTCCTTTTTTCTTTTTTCTTTTTTCCCTTTTTGGTTTTTAAACCCATTGAAAAGAAACTCATTTAAGTAATAACTGTTTTTTAAAAGTTGAGGTGAAGCATATGGTGGTGGTAACATGGCTTTGTAAAGTAGTTAATTCACTGAGCTCCGCTGTGGTACTTGGGAACGAGGGCTCAGGGTGCCATGGAGTGCAGTGGCCCTGAGGGGCGGCCTCCCTCCCCATCCTGTGCCCGGGCTCCGGGCGCCGGGAAGACCTCGAGCGTCAGAGACGCAGTGGCTGCTGTTAGCACCGGCCGGCTCTGCTGGGCCTCAGATCCTCTCTTACGTAGCTTTTGAATAGCTGATATACTCATATAGTTAAAATAAGTAATATAAAGGGGGATTCAGTGAAGTCTTCCCTTTTATGTCCTATAGACATCCAATTTCTAATTTATGTTATTAGTTGGAATATTTTTTGACATGCAAAGTATATAAGCATTTTCACCTGATTTTTGTATATTGTATACAGTTTCACATTTTTTAACACGTTTTACGTATTTGTTTAATATATTTTTAGAGATATTTTAGACAGCTTTTTCTTTAGAAAAAAATAGTCACACAGTATCTTGTTGCTTAGATATTCCATAAGTCACCCCTGCAGTCCTCTGTTAATGGACAGTTAGCTCGTCAGCTTTTTTTTTTTTTTTTTTTTTTTTTTACCACTACCAGTTATGCTGTAATAAATAACCTACACATGTCCTCCCACACATGTGCAGTTTGTGATGTCAGTTCCTGGTTGTGAGGTTGCTGGGTCAGAGGCGTGTGCTTTAATGTGACAGCTGTTGCCAAATCGCCCTCTCTAGGTTTGCCAGCTTCGTTTCCCATGAACAGAGTTTGGAGAAGCAGCCGGTGTGATTACCTTTGGGTCACTGTGAAATGGAAAATGCTAGTGAAGAATAGTTTTATTTTGCTTATTTTTTCTTATGAATTAATTTTAGTAGTTTCATGGTTTATGAACCATTAGTATTTTCTGAGGACTTTCTGCCTCTTTTTCTAGTGGATTGTTTTCAATTGTATTTTTGAATTTTGGTTCTCCGACCACTTTGTTGAGTGAATACTTAATGGTCTGTGCCAGCTGCTGGGGTAGAGACAGGCTTGGCCTTCCTGGAGCTTATAGTGAGACAGTAAATAAACGACGCTGTCCAGAGGAAGAAGAAGGGCAGGCACCATTGGCTGTGTAAACAAAGAGAAGGCAGGTAATGTAATAGAAAGTGGCCCTTTGTTGGGTGGGATGTATCAGTTCAACTAGGCAAATGGCTAGCAGTAGCCCCAATACATGCTAGCTCAGAATATGCAGTTTCTCTTTTACGTCTCAGTCTAGAGTAGGTATTCAGCTTAGTGACATGGCTTTCTCCTTATGTCCTGGCTCCTCCATTCCCTAAGGCCTAGTGGCTTGTTGCATTCAGCGGGCGGAAGGCCTGGGGAGGTATGGTGTGTCCCTGTGTGGCCGTGACAGAGAAACTTTTACTTACTTTCCGTTGGCTAAAAGCGGAGGCACACGGCCATTCCTACATGCAGCGCAGTCTGTGCTCAAGAAGAGAGGAGCTCCTTTGTGGACAGCCAGCAGTCTCTGCCCCAGGAGCGGACGGCATTAGCCAGCGGGATCAGGGAAGATTCTGGAACTGAAATGATGATAAAGAAGCATCCAAGCAGAAGGTGGAAATCAGAGCATCCTAGGCAGAAGGAATAGGAAGCACAGGTGCCCTGTGGCATTTGAAAGACCTTAACCAGGAGGAAGAACAGGGGGAGACCCTGTGTGCTAGAACCCTGATAGCAGGAGTGAGAATGGCTAGAGGGGAAGGCCGGGGAGATGGGCATTGGCCCGATCTGTGCAGACCATGGGATGACTTTTAGATTATCCTGTTAGTTTCTCAGTGCCGTGAGAAGTCACTAAAAGATTTTCAATGTGAAGTGATTGGGTTTGGGCTTTATGTTAACTGCATTTTTCTTTGAATCTTCTGGCCCCCTTGACCACCACCCCACCTCCACCCCCACCCCGTCTGGCAACCACCAGTCTGTTTCTGTATATGTGAATGTGAGGGGTTTTGGTGTGTGTGTGTTTTCTTTCTTTCTTTTAAGATTCCACATACAAGAGAGATTATGTAGTATTTATCTTTCTTTGCCTGGCTTATTTCACTAGGCAGAATACTGTTGAGGTCCATCCATGCTGTTGCAAAAGGCAAAAACCTCATTTTTAATGGCTAAATACTGTTCCATTTTACATATACCACAATTTCTTTATCCATGCATCCATTAATAGACACTTAGATTGTTTCTGTAACTTGGTTATTGCAAATAATGCTACAATGAACATGGGAATGCATGTATCTTTTTGAGTTAGTGTTTTTGTTTTCTTTGCATAAATACCCACAAGTGGGATTGCTGAATCATAAGGTGGTTCTATTTTTATTATTTTATTTTTATTTCTTAAAGAAAAGAATAATTTATTGACATTAAGGAGAGAGAGGAAGGGAGAGGGGCAGAGAGAGAGAGAAACATCAGTTGGCTGCCTCCTGCATGCCCCTAACTGGAGATTGAGTCCACAACCCAGGCACATGCCCCAACTGGGACTCAAACCGACAACCTTTCAGTGCACAGGAAGATATCCAACCAACTGAGCCACACTGGCCAGGGCGGTAGTTCTCTTTTTAGTTTTTTTAGGAACTTCTGTACTGTTTTTCATAGCAGCTGCACCAATCTACATTCTTAGGAACAGTGCACAAGGGTTCTCTTTTCTCCACATTCTCGTCATCAGTTGTTTTTTGTTTTGTTTTGAAATAATAACCACACTATTATTTGTGTGAAGTGATATCTCCTGTGGTTTTGATTATAATTTCTTTCATGATTGATGATGTTGAGCATCTTTTCAGTTAACTGTTGGCTGTTTGTATATCCTCTTTGGAAAAATGTCAATCACATCTTGTACCCGTTTTTCCCCCCATCAGATTGGTGTGGATTTTTGTCTGTCTGTCATTTTACTATTAAGTTGTGAGATTTTTATTTATTTTCTAATATATTTTGGATATTAACTCCTATCAGATACATGATGTGCAAATATTTTCTCCTGATTGGTAGGTTTTGTTTCATTTTGTTGATGGCTTCCTTTGCTGTGCCGAGACTTTCAGTTTGATGGAGGTCCGCTTGTTTATTTTTCTTTCGTTGCTTGTACTTTTTGGTGTCAATTAAAGAAATCATTACAAGACCTTGTGTCAGTTGCTTCTGCCTGTTTTCTTCGGGACCAGTTATGGTTTCAGTTTTTTGTTAAGTCTTCATCACTTTGAGTTAATTTTTGTAAGTGATGTCAGTAGTGGTCGAAGTCATTCTTTTTACACGTGGCTGTCCAGTGTTCCTAGCACTTATTGGAGACACTGTCCTTTCCTCAAGGTTGATTCTGGGCTCCTTTGTCATAGATAATTGATCATATATGCAGGGATTTATATCTAGGCTCTCTGTGTTTCATTGAACTGTGTGTCTGTTTTTATTGCCATTATCATACTGTTTTAATTACTATATCTTTGTACTTTAGTTTGAATTCAAGGAGTGTAATGCTTATTTAAAAATTTTTTTTTTAATATATTTTATTGATTTTTTACAGAGAGGAGGAGAGAGGGATAGAGAGCTAGAAACGTCGATGAGAGAGAAACATCAACCAGCTGCCTCTTGCACACCCCCTACTGGGGATGTGCCCGCAATCAGTGTACACATGCCCTTGACCGAATCGAACCCAGGACTTTTCAGTCCGCAGACCGACGCTCTACCACTGAGCCAAACCTGTTTCGGCTTATTTTAAAAAATTTTATTAACTGATTTTAGAGAGAGGAGAAACATCGATTTGTTGTTCTACTTATTTATGCATTCATGGTTGGTTACGACTTGTATGCACTCTAAATGGGGATCGAACCTGTAATGTTGGCATAGTGGGACAACATTCTAAGCTACTGAACTAATTGGCCAGGGCTATTTTATTCTCTTAGATGCAGTTATAAATAGCGTTATTTTCTTTATTCCTCTGATAATTCATTATTAGTGTATAGAAATGCAATAGATTTTTGTGTATTGATTTTGTTCATCCTAACTATGTTTAGTCTTAACAGTTTTTTATGCCTAGAATTTTATGTATATGTCATTTGCAAATAGTGATAGTTTTGTACTATCCTTTCCAAATTGAATGCCTTTTATTTCTTTTACTTGCTAATTTGGATTTGTGTTTCTAAAAAGATTCTTTTGGCTTTTTGGAGAATAAATTGGAAGAAGGCAAGGATGGAAGGTGGAAGTTGATTGAGAAGGCTGTTGTATAATTTTTAGGCAAGAGATGGCAGTGGCCTGGGATGGAGAGGAAGAAAAGTGTCGAGGTGTGGATCTGGTCTGAAGATACTGTTAATAGTATTGCTGTTGGTTTGGATGGAGGAATGGCTGAGTGGTGAATGGACAGCAGTGCTTATACTGGAACAGAGGATAGAGAGAAGGGCCTTAGGAGGAAAGTAAAGAATTCCTTTCAGACTTCCTCAAATATTTACTTAGCTATCTCTTTCCAGAAAAGAATTCACTTGTCCTTGGCATAGAAGGTACTTCCAAGGGAAAAGAGTGGCCTATGAAACACATAAGTCTATTTATGGATATAACTTGCTAAAAATTGTAGCTTTCATAATTCAATATTTTGTTCTCTTGAACATGTTTGGGATTTTGCATTATAGAACTAGCTGAAGTTTCAGAACCTTCCTGTCGTTGATGTAAATGCTAGTGCTGTAGCTTTTGGCTGAAGATTAAAACTCTGAAAAGTGCTCCGCCTAAACCCAAACATCCGTTCTTCCAGGTGCGTCAGCAGTTCCCTGCTCCTCTCGGCTGGTCAGGCCCTGAAGCTCCTACACAGGTCACTGTCGAAACTCATCCTGTTCAAGAAACGACCTTTCATGTAGCCCCTCAACAGAATGCATTGCATCATCACCATGGAAACAGTTCCCATCACCACCACCACCACCACCACCACCACCACCACCATGGACAACAAGCCTTGGGTAACCGGACCAGGCCAAGGGTCTACAATTCTCCAACGAATAGCTCCTCTACCCAGGATTCTATGGAGGTTGGCCATAGTCACCACTCCATGACATCTCTGTCTTCCTCAACTACTTCTTCCTCCACCTCTTCCTCCTCTACTGGTAACCAAGGCAACCAGGCCTACCAGAACCGCCCAGTGGCTGCTAATACCTTGGACTTTGGACAGAATGGAGCTATGGACGTTAATTTAACCGTCTACTCCAATCCCCGCCAAGAGACTGGCATAGCTGGACATCCAACATACCAATTTTCCGCTAACACAGGTCCTGCACATTACATGACTGAGGGACCTCTGACAATGAGGCAGGGGGCCGACAGAGAAGAGTCCCCCATGACAGGAGTTTGTGTGCAACAGAGTCCTGTAGCTAGCTCGTGACTAAATTGAAACTTGAGTTTGTTTCTTGTGTGTTTTTATAGAAGTGGTGTTTTTTTCCAAAAAAACAAAAACAAAAAAAAACAAAGTGCAAAGCTGCTTGAATCAGAAGGAGATTAACACACTGAACCGCTACGAGAGAGCAAAGCTGACTTTTTTTTAACTTGAAAAGATCTCAAAGGGACAGTGAAGTTTTTAAAGGAGCCATGTCCAAACCCACCTTCGTGGACAGCTCCGAGGTGTCCTCTTTTTGCCTCCCCCACTTCACCTTGCCCATCCCAGTCGTAGTGGGTTTTTTTGTCTTTCTATTCCACAGAAGTTCATGTTCAGATGTTGGTCTTGGTCATTTGCCAACTAATTTTAAAATAAAAAGGCACTGCACCTAATTTGCATAAAGGGCCCCAACGAGGGTGTTTTTTCCCCTTTTTTGTTTTGTTTTGTTTTTGTTTTGTTTTGGGTGGGGGGGTGGGTTGTTCAGTCCTCTAAACACACGTGGGCACGGAGATGCAGTTCTGTCAGGAAGAGGGAGCTCCAGCTCACACACCACCTGCAGCGCGGAGGGACGGTGGTCAGGAGTGTCAGGCACAGTGAGCATGCTAAGTGGCGGGGATCGGCGCTCTCCTGTCTGAACCTACTGAGGAGCAAAGCAGCAATTACATGGGATCCTGTGGGTCTCCCGTGGGAGAGGCCGCAGTGAGAGGAGCGGAACGTGACTGGTCTCCCAACCAAGGTGCACTGAGAAGCAATCAACCGGTCAGTCGCGGCCAGTCCTGGGGAGGTCTGAGTGGTGGTCTTTGGGATAACCTTTGGCCTTATGGATTTGGACTCGAAACGAGAAGAGCCTACCATTTCAGATGCAATCACTTTGGACATGCTTTCGCAGACAGTCCTTAATGCTGAAAACACAGAGAATGGGTAATTCAAGAGGCCTTTCTTTTAAATAGACTTTTGTGACCCACTAATTGTAAGGTATTGCAAGGTCACTTTGCGTGTGTCATAAAGCTGACTTCCTTATTGGTTGAAGGTCACAGAGGTAGTGGTTTGCTTTGATGGAAATAGCTACAGCTGTGTCCCTTCCTGCTTTTTACTTTGCTTTTGCTTTTTCTTGGCACGTGGTATCTCCACCATTTCTTCTGCACAAAGATGTCTTCTGTTCACCCGAACATTTTTTAAAAATGCAGAATTTTATGTGACTGCTTTTTTGCCTCACAATTATGCTGTGAATTTTACAAAAATTTATTTTCTTTTTTGATAATTTATTGTACCAAAGCTGTTTTTATAGCACATAGATGTCTGTAACCAATAATGTAGCAGTTCTGCACTTTGACACAAGGTGTAACTAGACCATTTTTAAATGTCAGTTGAAAATTATGGCTGTACTATTGCTTAAACAAAACTGGAACTGTTGAACCCATAGCCAATACATTTACAGCAATCTGTGTACTGAACATAATAGATTGACATCTAATTCAAGACTACAACACCTGTTACATTCTAACGTGTTCAGGCTTCTGAAGGGAGAGGGGCACTGGATCCAGAAGCGGTGGAGCCAGCAGTTGATTCTTGTATTCCTGATTAACCTACACGTAAGCTGAAAGCAAGCCCTGGGTGGCAACAACAGGTCCCGAGTGAGCACGAGCAGAGCGAGGCCCCGCACATGGCCGGCGCGAGCGGCTGGCGTGGGCAGGGCCTGGGCTCGAGGTGACGCTGCCTTAACGTAGCGCAGCTGGCAGTTGCTAAATCTGTGTTCCCATTTTAAATTGACCAGTGGTAGAGTGTCACGCCTTTGAGCCGTTGACTGGGGAGAAGGAAGATGAGTCACTCACTGTCCGGGATCAAAAGAAGCCTAGAAGGGAAGCAGTAATCTACCTCTGCCGATAACCCTGTTCAAACAGCTCAGCAGAACACCAGTCACTTCTTATTGGTCAATCCCAGGGGCTGCCCAGGCCAACGCTTTCTGAGCAAACGCAGGTTTTCATGTGTAAACAGTGCTGAGAGAAAGGCTGAGAACTATGTGACTGTGAATGGAAACGTGGAGATAATCCGTTTCTGTACACCACACAAAAATTTTTTTTGTTGTTAATCAGGAAATCCATATTTATTTTGTAATTAAATGTCAAGCCTGTGGATGATTTTTGAACTTGGTAGTTCATAAAGGTTTCCAGTGAATAAAAGGATATCATCTTGAGCTTAGCAATATCAAAAGGAACTCAGTAGTCACTGCTGTTTAGGAATATAAGGTGATGATACCAGATGGGTCAGGTCATTTTTTTCTGTGCTGGTTGCCACATCTTAAAAAAGCACCAAAAAACGAAAGTAGTTTTTAAACCGCTACTCACATAAAGGAAGTCATACAACCCAATGCTTCTGCACACTGTGTTATGTTACAGTCCAGTTTTGTGTGCTTTCCTACACGGTTTGGTTACAGGACTTCTGTGCATTGTAAACATAAACAGCATGGAAAAGGTTAAATACCTGTGTGCAGATTGTAAGATCTGGTCCGGACTTGCTGTGTATATTGTAACGTTAAATGAAAAGAATCCCCTTTGTATTATAGTCATGCGGTCTTATGTATGATAAACAGTTGAATAATTTGTCCTCAGACTCTTTACTATGCTTTTTAAAAATTAATTTCAGAGCAATGTGAACACAGTAAAAACCTTCCTATGCAATTCACCTGGCGCAGGTAATGGTCTGGTCGGTACACTGAGCATCAGGTTAGTCACATGTAAAAGGAAAATAGTTACATCGACCCAGGCTTCAAAACTCTCAGAAGAATTGGAGGTTTAACGGATCATTTTCATTTTTTAAGTCGGCTTTCTACAGGATCGGTGACGTGATTCCTGGTCTCTTGGGCGCACGGTGCTGACAGACCCGTGCTTGGGATGGATGTGAGGGGAGGTGATGTCTCACAGGCTGTGACCTGCTTGAAGCCATAGGGACACACGTCCTGCATGTCCCTCCCCGACCCTCTTCTGAGCACGTCACGAGCTTCATGGGCAGAGTGTTGGAATTCTGCTCCAGTGAATTAATTTCTCACCTAGTGTCTTCTCCTTCTGTAAGTTACCCTGCTAAGTATCTATTAAGGTGGCTTTCAGAAGGCAAACACTTAAAAAGGGGTTACTCTGTGAACTTGAGGTTGGCTGCATACAACGTTTACTCTCGCCACATGTAAGCAGAAACTCCCTTTAGCTTTTTCTTAGGGTCTGAGCATTTTACCTGGGTAAGTGGCACATAGTTCACGACGTGGTTCTCCACCGGCCTAGGCTTGCTTTTATTGAGTGAGTTTAGACTGTGAGTACAGGTCATTGAGGCTGCGGCCATTCTGTAAGCCACAGGGTGACCTTGGGTTTGCCACTGGGCCCTCTTCTCTGGGACCCATGTTGTTAAACTTGCTGTCACCAGCTGTATAAGGAAACAGCAGTGTTCACAGGTGAGATAGCACATGCCACATTTCTCCTAGGTTCGTGGCCGGTTCCCCAGGTCTGCCCGTGTCACTTTTCATAATACAGGTTCAGTCCTCACTTGGCACTCATTTGTGAAGCGGTTCTTTAGATACCAAACTCTCTGTTGGTGCCAGCAAGGGAAACAGTGAATTGTAGAGGTTAAGATTGGGTGAAGCTGACTGGGGTTCTGAGACCACATTCAGATTTCTTAGAACCCTGCTGGGAAGAGAGCAGAAGCCCTTGTTCCCCAGCCACGTTCCCCCCAGGCGTGTTTCCTAGGGAACAGGAAGGAACACACGCCTCAAGGAAGTGTTAGCACAAAGAGCAAGGAGAACCCCAAGACACGCTTACCTCCTTCTCGGTCATCCCTCTTGGTGCATCGTGTCCCTGTGAGGGCGGGCGTCCATGGGGCTCCGGGTACGGCACCGGCTGCCCCGCACTGGCCACGTGTCCAGCCGCTGGGCTAACGCATCGTGTGTTTCCGTGGCCGCGGCAGGGAGGAAAGTGGCTGCTGGTGTGTGTGTCTCTCCGGCGTCCTGCACAGCCAAGTCCCAGACAGCAGCTGCCGCGGCAGGAACCGGTAAAGAACCACCGTGTGTGGGCATCAGAGCTGTTTGGGATAATAGTCACCGGAACCTGGAGAGCACAGGTATTTGTCTTAGTTAATTTCTTCCAATTTCTTACCTTAGGTTTTCTTCAAACACATAAATACCTAACAACTGGGGATCGGGAGCCCCACAGGTTACAGCACGCAGCTAGCTTCTCCAGCTCCTGGTGGTTACCCCGAAACTGGCTTTCCCCGATTTCCCATCTTGAGGGCAAGCCCGGTAAGGTGGAGTCTGGCTGGAGGGGCTTGGCGCTGGTCTGGTTCCCACTCGGGGATCACATCTGGGCTTCGGGTTCTCGCGCTCAGCGTGTCCTCGATGAGGACTTCGGGAAGGCGGGAGAGAGGGGTGGGGATCGCACATAAGGGTGTCATGCTTCCTGCCGCTTCAGAGCAGTGGGGGCCGCGATGCTCCGAGGACTCGCCTTCTGGTACCGCCATCGGGCACCACTGCCATCGGGCGCCACCGCCATCCAGGATGCGCCAGGCCTTGGCTGCGGGAGGAGGAAGTGGCGCCGATGGAGCTGCCTGCCGGGGCCAGGGGGACGCCGTCCGCCCCCAGGGCGAGGCCCCTCCGGCATGAAGCGCCTCCGGGTGCTGCGCCCGCAGCCAGCCCGCTCAGGCCGAGGAGCGTGGGGCCACCCGAGGGTCTGAGCATCTCTAAGTGCTTTCCCGCCGCCTCTGTGATGGCTACAGCTCGCAGCTTCGGCGGCGTCACACGTTATAAAACAGCCTCCGAGAAAGGAGAGCGCGGCAGGAGCCAGCACGTGAGGCTCCCCGTCTCCTCCCTTCCGTCCTCTTGGGAAAGTGTGGATGTGCCGCCTGCCAGGAGCTCTGCCCCGGAGTGCCCTCCCGGCTCGGTCCCCCCAGCCCGGCGTCTCCGGGCGGCCTGGAGTGGGCGGCTGACCTGTCGGCGGAGGCTCCAGCTTCGGGCTCAGATCCTTCCTCTCTTC